TGCTAACCCAGTGTTATTTTAGTGTCATTGATACTATATTATTATAGTTTTTAATATAGTATTGATATTTTATTATAGTATTAATAGTTTAAATTATTTTTTGTATTTTTTTTCCTTTGACATAAAATAAGTTAAAGCGTTTTTCTTAATATTTTATTTTATTTAAATAAAATTTAATTATTTTTTTTGTTAACTATAATAACCTTGGTGCGAACCATAGTTTATATGGTGAATTATAGCTGTTGAGAGACAATATTTTATTCTTCTTTTATTCAGCTTTTATTCTGCAATTACACAGAAATGTTCACTGAAATTAATTCAGCTCTTGTCAAAAAATTATTTGTTCTGTATTTTTATTTCGAAGAAATATCTACCCTCCACACTTTTTAGAACACAATCAATGCTTTTCAAAAACTTTGACGTGTCCAGCCCAACTTTTACAACCACTCCAATGCACCCGAACAAAAGCAGACTAGTCAGTCGTTCCAGGTGCTGTTGCGTGTACCTCTGAGTACAGCTGTGCTTTTATTCGCGATCAGTGGCAGGGCATGAGGGTGGAAGATTGAGAGTGTGGTGGCATGTTTCAGCCCTGATCAGATCTGCATGATCTCGACTCTAACAAGCATCACTGCGCACTGCAGACCCCCGCTGAGCCGCGAAGGAGAAACACCCCCACACTTCAAAAGAACAATCAGTGGACCAGAGGGAGAGAAACTGTGTGGGAGAAGGTGTAATTATGCTCAGATAATCACGAGTCAACTATTCATCAGCAAAAACATGAGCATTCGGCACAAATGATTATAAATATGATTTTTAAATAAATAATATTATAATTAATAATACATCATATTTGAATGTATAAGATACTATTAATAGTAATTATAATTAAGTTTCTACTTAATTTAATCTAAACTATTATAGCCATGTTGATTCAGTCATATTACAATACATATTATTTTCGAATGGAATAAAACTTGTTAATTTAAATCATATGAAGCATATTTTTCATTTTTAGTTTACATTACCACTGTGTAAAATATACTAAATCTCAATATATAAAAACATTAAATACGATAATAACTTCATACCTAATAATTTAATCTAAACTAATATAGCCAGGTTGATTCAGTAATATTACAGTAAATTATTTTTAAATTGAAAAAAACTTGTTAAACATATAAAGCATCTCTCTCTCTCTCTCTCTCTCTCTCTCTATATATATATATAGTAATGTGTATGTGTGTGTGTATGTATGTGTGTGTGTGTGTGTGTGTGTGTGCATATATATATATATGTATACATATATATATATATACACACATGCACACACACGCACGCACACACACACACACGCACACATACACACACACACACACATACACATTTATCAATGATATTTCAATTATATATTAGATCAGTTCATACTTCATAATTGATCTGGTAGTTCTTGTCTAATAATTCCATTTGTGAGGAATAACCACTGGATTAAAATTTGTGACAGTCGTGCAAACAGAAATGAAATGCGTAAAAATAATTAAACAAGTTCAAATGAGCAAATTTGATTATCACTCTCAACTGAACGGCTCTAATATATGCAAAAAGCTTAACCAAATCAGGCCCGTGTGCCTCCACACGGGTTGCATGGGGGTTGGATGTGCGTGTGGCAATGTGGCTGAGAACATGGGTGTGTGCCGCTTTCATTTCACACAGGGTTCATGGGTGTGTGCCTCGCTGTATAGAAGAGCAGCAAACATGAGCCAAAGCTGAGGTCTGAAACCAGACTACAGGTCCAAACATCACAAATCCATCAACACTGCGGACACTTAGATCTCGCTTTCAAAACCTGGAAATAAATCTCTTAAAATAACTAAGTTACGATCGCAAACAAATGCGAGATCGCACGTATAGCCGACTCCCATCTTCATGGCCTACTTGAGCGAAATGTGAGATTGTCATTGTTTAGAGTCACCGCAGGGCTCGAAGTGTCACGTAGTGAACAATACGCTGCCTCTGTTTTCGTAAAAATGGCAGACACACTAGTTGCATTGGTAATTCTAGACAGCAGCATTCAGCTCTGGTTCCTCTCTGACCTTTAGGTAATGCTTTAAGATCAGCTCTTTCTAAAACACGCTAACATGCTAAAACAAAACGTGGCGGAAACCTCAAACCCTTCAACTCACCAACTCCAACTGCACAATGTGGGTATCATGGTCACACCCGTCAAAGTGACCTCAAAATAACAATTATTGTAATAATCTGAGGAGATGACAGCTACTTAGAACATGTTCAACATTCAAACAACGTTTTGTTAACGTTACAACAATATTCTGTGAAAATTATTGTGTTGTCAGAATTTTGTAAAATAATATAATCATGCAATTTATATTGAAAGTCAAATTTTGTTTAATGCCTTAATCTCGGTAGTATTAAAATGCAAATTAATACAAATTAGCTAATAAAACTTGTCACTGAATTTTGTTTGCAACCCATTTTACATCAGTCAAATAATGAAAATCCTGTCATCATTTACTCATCCTCATGCCGTTCAAAACAAGTGTGACTTTCTCTCTTCTGTGGAACACAAAAGGAGATGTTTTGAAGCACGTTCATGCTGCACTTTCACCTTACAATGAAAGTGAATGGGGACTGGGGCTGTCAAGCTCTAAAAAGCACAAAAATCATCATAAAAGTAGTTAAAGTGACGTGTGCTCTATATTCCAAGTCTTCTCAAGCTGTGAATGAAGAACAGATGGAAATTTATTTTACAGAAAATCTTGCTTAAAAGAATAGTTCACCCAAAAATGAAAATTCTGTCATTATTTACTCTTTACTCTACATTATGTCCAGCCAGTTGAACACAAAACAAGATTTTTGAAGAATGTTGGTAACCAAACAGTTAATGGTCCCTACTGACTTCCATAGTATTTTTTCCATACTATGGAACTCAATGCGGACCATCCACTATTTGGTTCTTCAAAATATCTTCTTTTGTGTTCAAAAGAGAAAAGAAACTCATACGGGTTTGGAATAACTTGAGGGCGAGTAAATAATGACAAAATTTTCACTTTTGGGTGAATTACCCCTTTAAGAGCCCTAGTTCCAATTCACTTTCATTGTATGGAAAAGAGCAGCTCAGACATCATGCTATAAATATCTCCTTTTGTGTTTCACAATACAACACAAAAGTCTTTTGAAAGGCATTGAGTTTGAATACAGCGCATTCCATAATATTTATTATATTATTTATTTTTTAAATAACTGTCAAGTATCAAAATATAGTAAAATAATTTAACATTAAATAAAAAAACTTAAAAAAAATACAATTAAACACAGCTCAATCACTCAATATTTCAAACCATTTATATTTAACCACTAACTTATAAAGCATCTCTAGAAATAAACCTGAACTTCAAGCAGACAAACACAATCTTGCCTCCAACCATTTTTAGGCTTTTAAACGAACAACTTATTCCTACCGTTTGGACAATGAATAAAAGATGTTGAGACGGTCTCAAACGAGACGGCGGTGGGCGGCCCGGCACATGCTACATTTTCCTCATCTCCCCCTTCTGTCATTTAGACCGCAGGCGATGACCTTGAGAATTTCCTCTCGGCCAATAGGAACTCTTTGTTTCTCTCAGCCCCTCAAATGTGCTGAGGATGCCAAAGTATAATGCCTCAAAAACACTTAGTAGTGAAGGGGGCTGCTGAGGTGATGTTTGTGTGTACAAGTAGGTGTTTTTGGGTGGAACTGGAAGTGCTGAATATATATTGTACGGATATATTTTCATTGTCTTACAGAAAAAGTGCACTGAATAATGGCGATGTTGTACAAATTGTGTTTCCTTGCTGCTTTATTTACGTTTGTTTATGCGTGTCAGTGTGGCACATGTGCAATCATTTATCTCCTTTAGCTTCTTGGGCACACAGCACAATTAGACATATGGATCCCAGAGGAATTCTGGGAAACAACAACAAAAAAAAAAAACTGGGAGCGCATCATGCACTGATATAATTGCATGTTTATGCAGACTGATTGGTGACATATTACCGGTTATAATGTGCGACCTCTTATCATAAATATGGCTGTGTCATAAAGATTGATGGCAGATTTCATACTACCCAGCATGCATTGGACAGATTCACAGACTGCCAACATTTTTTGGCCTCTAATGAGAATATGAAAAATCACTGGCTGCAGCTACGAATCACTTGCTGACTGCATGGATTTCAGTTGCTGCTTGTTACTTGCAAATGACAAAGAAAATCATGAGATTTGCTCATCAAATGACATGATTTACTAAGTTCACACTGGCGTACGTATATCTAATAACACCACCACTCCTTATTAATACTACAAATTGCAGACAATCCACATATATTACAATTACAGTGAGGTTTTTAGTCCTAAATTGCAACCCTGAGGGAAATCTACGAATCCGGCCGTCACCGTGTTCATCATAACATGACCTACAGGGACCACATACTGCTGGAGATCAGCTGCAGCACATGCTCTTTCACACCACATGGGGATCCAGACATCAGGTGGGTGGGTGTATAGAACTGATGAATGAACCGAAAGGTCATTTTTAACGGGGAAGTCGCTCGTGAACAGCATTAGGCCAGGTGTAGCCCCGTTTTAGCAGTTACAGTTTTGTCTATTGTTCTTTTCGGTGCGGCGAGTAGAGCTTTTGTCTGGGGTCCTCCATCTGTTCACGCGCTTCCTGAACTTGACAATAAGAATACACACCTCACGAGGCAAGAGGAACGTGTCAGGTGCAAAAAAGCTAAACATTGTTGATGGTAAACAAAAAATACAAAAAGACAGGCAGATGACAATGGGATAGACAGACAGATAGATAGACAGATTTTATTAATCTCGTGAGGTAGATAAACTCCATAAACATATCAAGTGACCACACAGAGAAACGACAGCGTTGAATATGAATGAGACCGTTGTACCGGCTGGAACAATGACCTCTGTCACCGGTAATTCATACCTGATATCTCGGACTGCGGGACGCCGTTTAACGTGAAGCCTTTGCCGCTGTAGAACTGGCGCACATCCGCGCAGCTCCGCACTTTGCCGCCCGCGTTATCCGCTGACAGAGACACGGAGATGAACGACACGAGCAGCGCGACCGCTGTCAGATCCATTGTGTCCTGATCCAGAGACCGAGGAGGAGGATGAAGTCCACTGACGCTGATGCTCTACACTTCACACAGCGATTCAACGCATCCGACTCTCTCTACAACAGCAGGATAGAGAATTAAATCCACTTGTTTAGGGAACAAGCAAACGCACGTCCAGGTTTAAAACCAGTGGTCCTGATGAAAGAGGATGTTTGTTATTGATCAGTCCGGTGGGGATCTGTTTCTGGTGCTCATGTCTTTACGCACTATTGATAATGCATAATTAATAATATCCCTCTAAGTAGCTAGTATAGTATGAACAGTAAATACTGTTGTAGTAATTGCGGGACAAAGCGCACAGTGCTGCTCCTGTGCTGACTGTCTCTCTACTGTCCCGTTCTCACTGAACAATAGTGATGTCCGATTTGCGACGGAGTCGTTCTTTTGAATCGGCTCCTTATAACGATTTGGAGGAATCGATTCGCAACATTTTCTGTAATAGAAACAATGCATTCTTTGGTGAAAAACTAGCGTAAGATGGTTTGCTTCTCCAAATCTGGTCTGTATTAATGCCTGTAAATAATAAATAATATGCCCATAAATAAAAATAGCCTAATAAATAAATAAATGAATGAATGAATGTAATTCTGAGTTTATGTCTCACAAATCTGCCGTTTTATCATGAAATTCGAGGGAAAGAAAGAAAGAAAGAAAAAAGTCCGAGATATAAACTCAGAATTGCAAGATGTTAACTCGGAATTGTGAAATAAAGAGTTGCAATTACTTTATTTATTTTTACGTGATGGAAAAAAATAATAATAAAAAACTGAAACAACAACAAAAGAAAGAACTGTGAGATGTAAATTCAAAATTCAGAGGGGGAAAAAGTTAGAATTTGGACTTCTGATGAAAAAAGTCAGAATTGCGAAATTTTAATTCAGAATTGTAAGAAAAAAGTCAGAATTCTGAGTACATAACTTTTCAGCAGTTTCATTGCCAACAATTTTTCTTGCGCTTCTGAGTTTATTTCTCACAGTTCTGAGAAAAACGTCAGAGTTGTGAGATAAAATGTATTCAGATAAAAATGTATTATTTTTATTCAGTGGCAGAAACGGGCTTCCATAGATCTGACTGGTGTGTTTTGTGCACATTTTCAGTTAAGACCAGCAAACCTTCATCAAGGTTGGTATTGAGCAATTCATGAACATTTACCCAATTGTAGTTTGTGAGTGCAGTGAATTTTTCTTTTCTTCATCTAGCAATGAAAACTGGCAGCCAAAATAAGCTAAATTAAGTGGGAAATTGGTTTGGGAGTAAAACTTTAAAGTCAATGAAATGTTGGAGACATAAACAATAAAACGTTTGGTTGTGTCTTAAAGAGCTGAATACCTACAGCATTTTGGGCATCAAATTAAATTTGCTAAATTAAAAAGAAAAAAAAAATCTACAGCAAAAACGTAATGTAAGCATAAACATTTCTTTCACAACAAAAAATAACCTTTGAGGAATATTTTGAGGTGATGAATCAAATGAATCGACTCTCTGAAACGATCCGTTCGTTCGAATTTCCAATGAATTTCCCAACATTACTGAACAAGTCCAGCCCTGAGATAGAACAAAGAGGAGGGGTGGGTGTAAAGGCACCTGCAGGTGGTAGTCGACGCCCCCTGCCGCCTTCCCAGACTACTGTAAGGCAATGTATCCCGCACTGCAATTGATTTTGAGGTGGGATATTAAATGGACGCGATCGTGTAACAGAGTGAATCGGTTATAGGCTGAAACCGAGAACACAGTCAGCTGCGAAAGCCTGTTATTTTTCAGTCAAGACACGTCTAATTAAGTGCACTTAAATTCTTGCGGGTTTGAGTCGAGCGGGGTTATTTAAATTAGGCTACATGGGGTTACACAGCTGCATAAAGAATAATTATTTTCACGACAATAAGCGCACAGCCATGCCGGTTAAAAATGAAAAGTGAGTCATAATTGACCGAACTAAAAGAATAGTAAAGCACTCACTTTTTGAGCTCAAGGCAGTTTCAAAGGCAGCATTGCCATATGCACTTTGTTGGCACAAAAACGCAGCAATGGCGAAATGAAGGGTTTCAGTGCGGCTGAGATCAGGAAATGTTCATGACAGCTTAATTGGCATCTAAATAATAAGACACAGCTAATTAAAAAAAGCAGCATTAATTACATGTCTGCTGAAAGACATGAAGACTCAATTGCGTTCTGGGCGTGACTGGTTTATTGCAAACATCGCTGTTATAGAGTAGGCTTCAGAATATGTTGTCAGAAATTATGTAATCGATACAAAACAGGCTCAGATCGGGCTGAAAAACATTTGGATATAGCCTACAAACCGGGATTTAAAGGGGCCAGGAACAGGAAAATAAAATAGGCCTAATAGAAAAACGGGGCTCAGCGGTTGATGTTGCCGCTGAGGTGCCACTGAATAGAAACTAAAATTTAAATTTCAAAGAGCAAGAGTGAGAGCTCGAGAGAGAGAGAGAAAGGGAGAGAGATCAAAAAGACACGTGTATACTTTGAAAATATATTTTATTGATCGATATATATGACACGCACAGAGCTACATGGAAAGCGACTAATTAATTCAAACGAAAGTTTAAGACTGTGACGTAACGGCGAACTGTCGAAACAAACAATAGGCCTATGTAGGAAAATGTTGCATCTAGAAGGGTTAAATGCCAATGTTATGAAATATTGTACTAAAAATAAGTGTTTGAGTGTCCTAGAGTTAATCAAAAGCACAACCCGACTAACATATACACACTTTGTATACAGATATTTCAGTATAAATATGTTAAACGTACAATTTGACTTTTTACAAAAAAGCCCTAAAATCGCACAAGCAGGTGGGTCAATCTTACAAAAACTGGGTCATTTTTCATCTCAAAATCAAAGGGAAGAAAATATAATATTTTATGTAATGACAATTGGCCTTTTTTGTAGACAATTAAGATTTATTTATTTATTACATTACTTGTATTATTTTAATGGCAATTATGTAGATTTTCCTCTGTAATGCAAAGAATTATAATGGTCATTACTGCATTTTGGGGAAAATTTTATTTAATTGATTTACTTTTCAGATTATAGAAATAAGAATTTGGAAAAATCTTAATGTTGCAAAATTATTAATATATATATATATATATATTATTTTGAGGTGAAATACAACCTTTGTAAAATTCACCCAGGTATAGTGATACAGGAGAATTAAGATATTGCTCATTCTTTCTTGAATATAATCCACAATAATACTCACACATTTATAAAAACAAAACAGCCTTTCCACATAATTCCTGCAGGAGGGTGTAAATGAATTCAGGACGTGATGTGTTACTCTAAAATGTACTGAACCAGACGAACATATTTGTAAATCCTTATTCAATAAAGTTTCAAAATGGCGGCACTATAAATTATGACAGTAAAACCACCAAAGAAATGATGGTGTAACTTGATCATACATTTATGTCTGCTTACACTACTTAGTAGCTACATAAAACCCTTTAAAACAGGCCAGAGCAAATGAATAACTAGTTTTTGAATAGTCACATCCTGTGGGGGGCCGACATGAGAACTTACTGAGCATCTGATGAGATCAGAAGACGAATGTGCAGACTTCTAAGGGCCTAGTGCAAATGCATGCTTGAATTGTTCAGTCTTTTTACTGTGCGTCAGAATCCACCGGGCCAAAGAAGGAGCTGTATTAGGAGTAAGAGCTGAAGAAATAGGACAGATGAGATGGTTGGGATGTGGACGACTCCACTATTGTGCGCACCCAGTTTGGGTCTGGAGTTGGGCGGCTGGATTGGGATAATGGCTTCCCGTGGTGGAATTCGTACATGGACTTCCTTTTTAGTGAGCACTGTAGGAAGAAGTAAGAAAAATGAACAAAATGTGTAAGAATTAGGTGCAGATATCACATTTAAACAAGATTTTCAATGCGATGCAATAGAAGAACAATTTTGAGTTCTTCAAAGAACCATTTTCTCTCAGTGTGAAGAAACTTTTACCACTATAAAGGACCTTTAAGGGTGTAGCGATGCAATAGAAGAACCATTTGGGGTTTTCAGATACTTAAGTGACCCTGTTTTAACCTCTCTTTGCCAGTGACTGCAGAACTGGCTCATACCAGATTCTGTAGCTATCTGTGATATTATTTACATATCTTGTCTGTATCTACATCCTGTCTTCATCATCAGCACTTTGCTTAAAGAATAGATAGCATATAACCTAGCAAGTTTACACTTAGGCAGTCACTATAAATACCCTACTGAAATGTTTCTTCTTTGTCACATTCTGCAGACTGTTCTGTATGAGTGCTGACCTTCTCTGCAAAGAATAAAAGACAAAAAGACATAGGGTCTCAAACTTCTCACAAAAACTTTCTGCCTAATTCACAACACCTGTGTACACACATGAATTTGTTCTTAACCTCATCCTAAAAAAACATTATTTTCTTAGTGTAAAGAACATTTTAATCTAAAGAATATTTATCCACTATAAATAAAGGTTTCAAATGGGGTTTTCACAGCGATGCCATGGAAGATCTATTTTTGGTTTCCCAAGAACCTTTCAGTGAATAGTTGTTAAAATAACCATTTATTTGAAGATTTAAAAAATTGTAAGAACCTTTTTCCACTACAATGAACCTTTTTTTGGAATGGAAAGGTTCCATGGATGTTGAAGGTTCTTCATGGAACCATCAATGCCAATAAAAAAAACTTTTATTTTTTAAGAGTGTAACGACTAGAAGAACCATTTTGGATTCTCCAAAGAATCTTTCATTGAACTGTTCTTGAAAGAACTACTATTTTCTTAGTGTAAAGGATATTTAATTAATCTAAAGAACATTTCTCCACTATAACAAAACCTTTGTGCAATGGAAAGGTTCTATGGATGCTTTGTGGAGAGGTCAATAAAGAAAGCTAATTGTGTGTAATGTGAAGAACATTTTAATAATCTACACTTTTAAAAATAAAGGTTTGAAAAGAGAGTTTTCACAAGGATGCCATAGGAGAACCATTTAGGATTCTTTGAATAAAAATTAATTTTTCTTAGTGTCAAGAACATTTTAATCTAAAGAAGCTTTTCTACTATAAAGAACCTTTTGTGCAATGGAATGGTTCCATGGATGGTTCTTCATGGAACCATCAATGCAAATAAAGAACCTTTTCTAAGAACTGTTCTGAACGGTTCTTTGGGGAACCCTAAATGGTTCTTTTATGGCATCGCTGTGAAAACACATTTTTGGAATATTTATTTTTATGAGTGCACAACAAAAAAATCAATCCTTCGACAAAAGAAAGACCACTTCGGGAGCAAATCCATTGTGCTTACAGTGACAAATGCACTTTGTGCATCTACACACACACACAATAATG